CCCCGCAAGCCTCATTTCCTCACTTTCTAGTTGTCAAAACAGAACTTCAGGGCACTGAAAGGAACACAGAGATCCTTCTAGCCAAGGCACTGTTCTTCGATTTCCTCCAGTCCTGCTGCTGTCCCTCTCAACACGAAGGGCCTCCATTTCCTACATCAGTTCATTTGTCTAGGTATCCTTTCTAGTCTCCCACTCGTGCTGTCCTTTTGCTGGTGGGTGCCGCTAAGTGGCGTGAGAAGTTCCAGCAGTCACACTTCTGGCCTGAACACGTACAATGGTGAGCCTTGGTGGTACCAGGTTCTGGGATCCAGTCGTCCAGATTTGCGCAGCTTGAGTGATTTCACAGTTAGCCTCAAGGTCAGGCTTGCCATCTGTGGCTCAGCCAGGCTCACTCATCATCTCAATCAACACCCTGCTGTTCTCAGACACAAAACACCCAGGAGCTCTCCCAGCATTCAGTTTGTGAGCAGACAGCTTCCCTCCTCTGTGAAGCGGAGGGCCTGAGCTCTCACTGATGCCAAATCGGGATGTGTCAGGTGGCATCTAGTTAGCTTGTAGCTTTTCACTTTTTTTTTTTAGACAGGATTGGCTACAGAGCCGAGGTTCAACTCTAATTTGAGAACCTTCTGCCTCAATCTTCTGAGTGTTGAGAGTACAGGTGTGAGCCACCATGCCCAGGTGAGTTGAAGAAGATCTTTGTGGAGGTGGGGATGGAATGTAGGAGAAGGGAGGTGTGATTTGGGATTGAGGAAATCTGCGAGGTTGTCAGACCCTGTTGATGTATTTGTGTACCTGGGAAGTGGAGGAGGCCAGGGAAAACGAGTGGGTAGGTAAAATATGGGAGAGCAAGAATATCAGAATAGAGAGGACAGAAGGTCAATACAAGAGAGAGGGGAATGAGTGAGAGAAAGCAGAGTAGGGGAGGGAGGGAACTTGAAAAGAATTTAAAAAGAGAAACAAGTAAAAAATAAAATAGTATCTGTATTCTATAGAAGCTATAATTGAAGAAAATAAGTAGAAGAGGAGAAAGGATGCATAATAACTAATCAAGGCAAAAAGAAAAATGAAAAGAAAAAGAGTTAACCAAAAAACCTCAGATAAAACACCCCAACAATAGGGGCTTCCTGGCAAGCGCAAGGCCTTCATCCGTCTTGTCTTGTAATTATTATTATTATTTTTTTTAGTGAATACAATAATCTGAGTTTTTAAAATTGGTATTGCTGGGGATTGAATCCAAGGCCTTGCATTTGCTAGGAAATTTACCACTGAACTACAACCACAAACTCTGATGTTGTATTGTCTCTTTGTCTCATCTTTGAGTTATTTTGTGCTTATAGGGTGGAACCTTAACTATCTCATTGATCAATATGTCCCAAGCAGCTAGCACAATGTCTGATTTAGATGTGTGGACTGATGGATAGTCCAGCATTTTCTCAGACCTGCTCCTCTTTTTTGTGGTTTTTATCACACGCACACACACTCTCTCTCTCTCTCTCTCTCTCTCTCTCTCTCTCTCTCTCTCTCACACACACACACACACACACACACACACACAGAGAAGCTCCTATTTTTACTTTTTTGGTGCTGGGTATTGAATGCAGGACCTCACACATGCTAAACACATGCTTTCCTACTGAGCTACATCCCCACCTGAGGCTTCCCATTTCTTCAAGAACTGGCCTGGGACTTGGAACAAGTCTTCTGGGCATCATTGCAGGGATTACACCATTGGAAACTATAACCATGGATCCAAATTGAAAGCAGAAGTCCTTAGAAGAACAGCTGTCTTATATGAATGCACTTGAAGGGAACTGAAAAGTTTGAGAATTGGCCTTGGACAAGTTGAATTTCCAGTCAAAAACTGTTACAGAAAATAATTTTATTCAACAGTGAGAAGCCCTCAGGGGATATTAAGGGCAGAGAAGAAAAGAGGTGGAAGCCTTGGGGACATCTCTGAGAGCACAAGCATGAGGCTCCATGTGCAGCTGCTGCATGTCTTTCAGTTTAAGTAGGCCATATTGTCCTTGTTTGTGCTGGTGGTTGCTGGCTATGGTGAAGTCAGGAGTCCATCTGGTAGAACAGGCCTCTACCTGACTACTCTACAATAGAGGTCTTCCAAAATCCATTGTCTCAAGTCTTAATAGCCTGGCTCAACCATCAACGCATTGTTGGTCCTTGTTGCCATTGCTCAAGTGACGAATTTTGAGGCTTGGGCACCCTAAGTGTTCATTACATTCTCCCATGTATCGCCGTCTCTTGAGAGCCTGCGTGCATGGTGGCTGTTCGGCTTTGGCCTCTGCAGCAGTGGCAGTGGAAGCATCTCCATAGACCCATGTGGATGCTGACTTCTCTGGACTGGATTTTGCTGGGGTGGTGATGGCAGCATCCCCGTAGACCCTGTAGCCTCCAACCAGGCAGTAGGTCTCTCCGTGCCAGCTCACCTGGGTTTCTGCACATCCTTGGTAGAGGACATGGTAGTAAACAGGTATAGGAGGAGCTGTGGGCAGCACTGCTACTAGAAAGAAAACCAGAAATGATCAGTCATTTCTGCTTCATACACTGTGCTGCCAGGACCTACCATTTTCTTGTGCATTTCTGGCGGAATCTCACTAATCTACTTGGCCTCCCAAATATAGTCTTGGTCTGTCGCTTCTATGGGTCACCTAAAAAGGGATGCTGTAAAAAAGGGGATGGTGTAAAAGCACTTGGCTTTTGTGGAACCACAGTAGCAAGAGACAGACTATTTATTACCCATTCCCACAAACAACAGAATAACCTGAAAATAATTGAAGATGGGACACCCTCAGTCTCTGGGTACCAAGATTACACCCAACGTGCCATTTTACACCCAACAAACCAATGCTGGGATTTTTAGGTCTCTCTAGACCTTTCACTTCCGGTTGTATGACACAACCCTTGTTCTAGTCCTCAACAACTAAGACTGCGATTGTTGCTGGGCCCGTGTATGTGTCTTCATAACAGCACTGTAAAGTGCCTGAGTCTCAAGGTGAGCTTTATGATAAACTTTTAACAGATCTTCCTCAAGCAGCTCTCCTTATCTCTTGATAGCCAAATATAATTTGCTTTTTTGCTATGAGTCCTCTGAGGAAATGGTCTAATATATATGTATATGTATTTTACAATGGGATTTTATTATGTTGCCCAGTCTTATTTCTAACTTCTGGGCTGAGTCATCCTTCTAGCTTAGCCTTGTGAATAACTGAGAGTATAAATGCTTCCACTACACCCAGGCATGAAAAAGCATTTTATAATCAAAGGGGAAGAATAAATTGATAAAAGATTTGGGCCTTCCTAAACACTTGCCCAGAAATGAATGTCCCTAGCCTGTGCATTGAGCAGGAACCCTCTAGATGCCCAGCAGAGCAGTAGGCTCTTGGTCCTACTCATGACTAGGGAAGATTGGAAGTATGGGGGAGAAGGACAAAAGGAAGTTGTGTGTACACCAAGGCCTGGTGTAGAGATGCCAGGCCCAAGCTCACCTGCTGCATTGCCCTCCCATGGAACAGATGACAAGTTAGCCTGAAGATAGATGATCTGGTCAATCATTTCTTTTAGACAACCAAAAAGCCTTGTGTTTAGGAGAGATCCAATGGATAGGTTTCTTCACGTTTTAGTATATTCCCTACCATGGAAACCAAGGGGCCTGTGATGTCATTACTACCCACTGAGGTCACATGCAGAATCTTGAGGTGATGGCAGGCTCCAGGCCCTCAGTGTATGGTGGCAGAGAGCAGGAAGAAGGCAGAGGACGCCTTCCTGGGTTCCATAGTCCTCCTTACTCACACCCTTTTCAAGTAGGCACTTTTTGTGTAGCAATCTTGTGAGGGGCCACATCTCCAGTGAAACATAGGAGAGCAAGAAAATTCCCAATGATGATATGGGCAAGACAGTCAAGGTTAATCCAACAGACAGGTTGCACAGCTCTTGACTCTGAGAATTCAACAGTAAGAGAGGCAGAGCTTCTGATGGATTAGGGGATGAGAGAAGGCATCTCAGAGGTGGGCCTGAAGTATTATGTGAGATTTGAATATCATACATGCAAAACATTGCATTTGAGAAGAATAAAAGACAATGTGGTCTTGATATTTTTCTTTCTCATGTGTACGTTCTTAGAAGACTCATGTTTTTACAAATGAGTTCTCAAAGCATGAAGGTCAAAGGGCCTAGTAGAGTGGAGTTCTGTTCAACAGTGAGGTTCCATGTTGTTCATGTTTGGCTCAGTATTTATACCAGAGACTACTGTGGACAAGCTCACCACTTTGGAAAGTGCCAGACCCTTGGAAGGAAGTCCAAGTTGCTCCAAGGCAAATGAGGATCTCTAATGACTTACTGAGGCAAGAATGAAATTCTTTAATTTCCATGAAATTCAAAACACACTTAAAGCCAAGTACATAACATAAAGTGACAGCCTTATCTTTTCACTCCCTTCTTGTACAGAAGGCAAACATACGGGCTGGGAATAGAGCTCAGTAGTAGAATATTTGCCTCACATGTTTGAGGGCCTGGATTTTATCACAGCACAAAAAATTACAACCCAAAGAGTCTTTGAAGAATATGTGGTGCTTAGGAATGTGAATCCTCTTAATTCATCCTATTCAGGGTAATAATTTTGAAGGGAGTCCAAAAAAGGATGACGTATGTCAGTATGCACTATATAATACAAAGTCAAAATTCAAAAATCCACTTTAGCTTTCACAGATCAGGAAAAGTCTACCCTCCGATGCAGATGTGTTGCTTCTTATTCAAAGTCAGCAGCAGTTCCCCAGGCAGGCTTCCAGGGAATGGACCAGGTAGCCCAGTGCCTCCTGCTCACAAGGGTGCTCACCTACCCATTATCCTTCTGTGGCTTCACATTTAAACCAGCCAAAATCAGCTTTCCTGTGGCAAAGTGTCCTTCACTGAAGACTCAAGCCCTGGAAGGTTTTTCTTTCAACGAACTACCCACTCAATCTTCTGAACCAGGCTCCCGGCCCCAGGCTTGGTTATAAAGTTGATGATGGTGTCTGACACCTCTTTCCCCGCATGATTGACCCTCCCTGCTCTGTGGATAGCATCTTATGGGATGAAGAACACGTCATAATTGACCACCAGGCTCCCCAAGGTGATGTTCAAGCTCAGAGAGCCTATATATGTGCAGAGAAGTATGTCTCTGAAGTCCTTTTGGGAACACCAAAGATTCCCCCATTAGTGGGCATTTGCCCCTGCAGCTTTACATTATGGATTTTATGATCTTCTAGAACATATCCTAGCCTGTTGTTCAGTCATTAAAAGTTGGCCGTGTGGGCTCCAGCTTGTGATTCTTCTGCCTCAGCCTCCCAATGTGCTGCGATCACATGTGGGCAATCTACACCTGGCTTTCTTTTGTCTACAATGTAGTGTAGCTGAAGGTGGAGGGAAAACTGGGAGGCTTATGAGATAGGAGCTGTTTCAAAGAACACATTCAAGTATGTGTCTGGGACTCAGATCCCCTCTCTAAAGTGTGATTATCAGTTGCTAAGAGAATTACAGGATTGGAAACTCTGCTAATTCCAAGCCTTCTCTGGCTACTTCTCATCTCTACCAACGGGCACAAGGGGAAGCCTCGCTGCTGTCTCAGATCACACTTCTCCTTCTCTTTCTCCTCCTCATTAAGCCGGTGGTGGTTACCAGCTGTGGAGCTGGGGAGTGAAGCCAGCAAGGCCACCGTAACTCTATCGTGACACCTGGCAACTCAGCTCGGCACACAGCAAGACCCCACATATCGTTCCTTGAGGAGTGAGTGCACTTGACACTCGCGAGGTTGTTGCCGCCACTTTCTTCTTACTGCGAGAACGTAGTGCAAGACTGAGTGTGTGAGCAGCCACGAGACTCGGTGCCCAGAACTGTGCTGTTAGTTCAAGGTGTGCTAGCCCATTCTACTGTGCACACGAGGGAGAATATTCTATCAGCCTCACTTTCAAAGTGAGAAAAATGAGCTGCAGTGTAGGCCAAAGAACACAGTGATGCCCACCTGGGCGAGGCACATAGAGATTATGTGAATCCTTCCACTTCTAGGCGATGTCCTTCTCACCAAGAGGGCCCTCCGGTTCCTTACATACATCCATTTGTCTAGACATCCTTTGCTGGCCACACATTGGTGCTGGCACATTTATGGGGTTTGCAGAGTGGTGGCAGCACAAGTCTCCATTGACCACATTTGGAAAGGACATTCTGTTCACAGGCAGACCCCTTCCTGCATTTGTTGGTGTGAGCAGAGCCTCCCTTCTTGGACTGGCTTCATGGCTCCCCCAAGTAGGCATATCTTGTGTACCTGAGGATTTGAGCTCTCACTGCTGCCCATTCAGATGAGTATCAGGTTACACTTGAGATGTGTTTATCATTTTACTTTTGTTGATTGTGTGTGTGTGTGTGTGTGTGTGTGTGTGTGTGTGTGTGTGTGGTTTTGTTTTGTTTTGTTTTTTTGAGACAGTATCTCTTTGTGGATTCCAGGCTGGCCTCTAACTCAAGATTATTCTGCCTGTCTTCTGATTGCTGGAATTACACGTGTCAGCCACCATGTCTAGGTGAGTTTTCCGTGTTATTCAATTTGCTGACTGCATCCCATGGTGACATTTTATGTTTGTCTCTTGCTTTTCCTATAAACTGGAAGTTGTTGGAATCTTTTATAAATGACTCATTCATTTCAACAAAAATGTTGCTTGTGCTGTCCTCCAGCTTGTAGGCTCAAGCAATCTTAAAGCCATGTAGCTGACACTATAGATGTGCGAAAGTGTGGTGACTGCAAGAAGCTTTTTTTTTCCTCATTGAGTTTATTGGTACATTTTAGGTATGCAGTACAGTTACATTCATTACTGGGATCTTGTACCTTTACATGACAGGTCTTGGTTCTCATTTTTTTCCCCTTGTCCCTGCCCTCCCTTCACCCTCTCCTCCCTTCCCTATTTACAAATATTTTATTTCCATTTTTTCATTTTCTCATTTTTTTTTCTTTTCCCTTATTTCCTTTCCCCTACCCTTCCCACTTTTAAAGAAGACTTTAAAAACATAAATTTCCAGGTCCCCCAGCTTATAAATTCCCTTGGACTTATATGTGTTCTGGGTATCTCTTGCTCCTAAGAGTTCCAGGGGAGCCTGCTTTTTTCATATTTAGGAACTGGGAACATGATCTGTCTGATAATTGAAACTGTCCTCCAAGTTTCTATGTATTTAGGAGTTTGAGACAGGAGGATCATGAGTTCTTACACCAAGTTTCAGAGAGAGAGAGAGAGAGACACAGAGAGAGAGAGAGAGAGAGAAAGAGGGAGATTCTGAGACTCTCATTGGAGACACTTTGGGAGCCCCTGGGGCCTGTACCTCTTTTAGTCCATGACCTTTCCTAGCCTTGTAGGCGTGCATGTTGGGAGAGGAGCTGCAGTCTTGCTGCTTTATCCCCTTACAATAAGTATGCTGTCCACAGAGTGGGACACCACACTAGGGCTGTGTGCTGTGTGAGTGTCAGTGCCCTGAGACAGCTGTTCTGGGATGCTGGTGTAGGTGGGCCTGAGACACAGGCTCAACCTATTTTGTTGGTTCTCTGTTGACTGCTCCACAACCATATTCCCCAGGACCGACTGTCCCCTTAGCTGCTGAGAGAGACATCCTTAAAACAACAACCAGTGACTGCCACGGCTCATAAAGAGTGATCTTTTTAGAATCTAGAGCAGATTTCTTCTCTACCCTGTTTATGTTTCTTCATAGATTCTTTTTGTACCTAAAACAACATTCACATTCCTTTTTTTCGGGGGAGGTACCGGGAATCGAACTCGGGACCTTGTGCTTGTGAGGCAGGCAGTGGCACCACTGAGCTAAATTCCAAGCCCCTAAGATTCACATTCCTTGCTATAGTGAACAAGGCTCTCACACCTACCTTTTCAACCACATCTTTCCTTCCTGGCCTTTGTGCTGCTCCTATAACAGGTTAGCCTCATTTCCACTTCAGGTCTTTTTTTCTTTTACTTTTTACTTTTGTGTTATTGGGAATTTAACCTAACCTTTGCACTCAGCTATGTCACCAGACTTTTTAATTTTTTAATTCAAGGTCTTACTGAGTCAGTTACTCTGGGTGGTCTTGACCTTGCGATCATCCTGCTTCAGTCTCATATATTTTTGGGAATATAGATGTGCACTAGCCCACCTGGCTTTTCTTTAAGGACAATGTCTGGGAATATATCTGAGGCTGGTCATGAGCTCATGATCCTTCTGTCTCAAACTCCTAAATACATAGTTTATAGGCCTCTACCATTAGATCTGGCTCTATTTCAAGGTCTTTTCCATATACATTTCCTTCATTAATGCTTTATTTTAAAATAGTCACATGATTCTTCACTTCCAACTCTGCTGAAATGTCTCCTAGTTAAAGAGGCCTTCTTAACTAACTTGTTTAAAATAACATGGCATCCTTCACCACTGGATATTCACAGTGTTTTCCTTTATAGTGGTTATAATAACCTGGTTTAAAATTTTTACTGTTGCTTCAGATGAAGCACCCCTGAGGTATAACCCCAAATCCTGATATTATATTTTATATCTCATCCTTTGAATTGATGAGTGCTTCGTCGAGTGCAGATTCAACTGTCTCATTCACCAGTATATCGCAAGCAACAACAGGTGCTCAATAACGAATGAATGGACAGGTGGACGGGTACACACACACACATGAGCATGCGTGAGTTTGTGCACACACACACACACACACACACACACACACACACACACGCACACAATTTTGTAATTCTGGGCATTGAACACAGGGCCTCATACATGCTAAATACATTTAAAAGCTTTCCCAAGGTGCCTAGACATCATTGTAGGCATCACACTTTGAGAAACTGCATCCAAGGATCCCTTTTGCCAGCAGAGGCCTTACATGTAGAAATGTACTTCAAAGGAAATGGGAGGTTTAAGGATTGGTATGCACATGCTAGATTTCCAGTCAGAAATATTACTGAAAAATATTTTACTAAGCAGTAAAACCTCACTTGTGCCACAGTGGGCTGGGAAGTAAGGAACATGTATGCCTGTACGCCTGAGGGATGTTTCTGAATTTTCTTTATGCCTTTCCTACTCCACAGAATAGGTTTTTCCCTCTGAGCTGTTTTTTCTACCTTCTGAGACTAAGGGCGTGAGGCTCCCTCTGTAGCCCCTGCTTACTTCTTTAGTGTGGAAGCCTAAACCTCCTGCTTTGTGCTGGTGGTTGTTGGCTATGACTGAGGTCAGGAGTCCATCTGGTAGATCAGGCTTCCTCTAGGCCACTCTGCACTTGACTCCTCCTCAGCTTGCAGAAAGCAGACAGGTGTGTCTTCTGCACGAGCAGAGACTTTGGAGTGCTGAGTGGGAGAACATCAGGCTTTTTTTCAGGCCAGCTAAAACTTGGTGTTCAAAAACAGGCTGTCCTTGGAAACACCAATTTTTGAGGCTCCTCAAAAATAGCCAGTTGGCATGGAGGGGAGTTGTTATGGTTCATATCTAGGTTCCCTCACAAAACCTCATGCATTCATAGGTGGGGCTTTGGGAGGTGACTGGATCATGGTGATATGAGTTTATAGGTAACGGTGATGCTGAGAAGTAAGAAGTGGTGTCAAGAGGTGGGCTACTTGGGGCCATGGCCTGGAAAGGTCTATCTCCCTCCCTCCTCCTTTGATGTCTGCTTGCTCTCTGCCACACCCATGAACCAGCCTCCTCTGCCCTGCTGTAGAGCCATGCAAGCATAGACTGTAACTTCTGCAAACTGTGAGCCAAAATAAACTGTTTCTCTTTAATTTGTGGATGTCAGGTACAGTGTCTCAGTGATGAGGAAAATAAAGTTAGCTGAGACTTTGAATTGGGATGCTCTGGAAGCCCAAGGCTCTGTTCTTCCTTCTTCTTGCCCAGATTAAGGTAATTCTTTTTTTTTTTTTTTAAGGTAATTCTTAACAGAATCGTTCCTGGACTTTTGAATATGCATATCAGGGAGAGAAGCTACAGTCTTGTGCTGTAGCCCCTCAGGACAAGTGTGCTGTCCACAGGGTGGGATGCCTCAGTAGGGCTCTGTGCTGCGTGGCCCATGGTGCCACCTGTGACAGCGCTCTGGGCTGCTGGTATAGGTGGGCCTGACACACAGGCTCAACCTATTTTGTTGGTTTTCTGGTAACAGCTCCCCACCCCCACTTCCCAGGACCAACTGTCCCCTTAACTGCTGAGAAAGACATTCTCAAAATAACCGCCAGGGCCTAACTGCCATGGCTCACAGCAGCTAGGGTGATCTTTTTATCATCCAGATCAATTTTTTCCTACTCTGTTTATATCCTTTTCATAGCTTCTTCTTGCACACCCCCCCCCAAAAGATCCATATATTCCTTCACCCAGAGGGCATGGCCCATACCTATTTCTCCAACCACATCTTTCCTTCCTGGTCATACTTTAGACTTTGTGCCACTCAGGAATAGTTCAACTTCATTTCTGTGCAGGGCCTTTTTTTTTTTGGTACTGGGGATTGCACTTGGGCCATTGCGCTTGCAAGGCAGGCAGCAGAACCACTGAGCTAAATCCCTGGCCCCGTGCCTTTTTTAATTTCTTTTCTTTTTGTGCTATTGGGAAGTCAACCTAGGACCTCTGTGCTCAGCTTATATTATCAGCCTTTTAAATTTTTTATCACTGGATTTTAACTGAGTCACTCAGTTACCCTAGCTGATCTTGATTGTGTGATTATCCTGTTTTGGTCCCACATAGTTTTGGAAATATAGGTGTGCACAAGCACATCTGGCTCAGGATTTACTTTTCGATGATATCTGAGAATGTAGCTGAGGCTGGTCATGAGCTCATGATCCTCCTGTCTCAAACTCTTGACTACATGGTTTACAGGCCTCTGCCATTATATATGTGGCTGTATCTCAAAGTCTTTTCCACATTTCTCTCAGAAATGCTTTATTGCCAGATAGTTACATGATTCTCTCATTTCCAACTCTGCTGAAATGTCCCTCATTAAAGAGGCCTTCATAACTACCTTGTGTAATATGGCATCCTTCACCACCCTATATTCATAATGTTTTCTTTTATAGTGGTTATAATAACCTGGTTTTAAACATTTTACTGGTGCTTCAGATTAAGCACCCCTGAGGTATAACACCAAACCCTGATATTGTATTTTATATCTCATCCTTCTAATTGGTGAGTCCTTCACTGAGTGCAGATTCAATTGTCTCATTCACCAATATATCACAAGCAACTGGTGCAGTGGTTGGTGTGTAACAGGTGCTCAATAAGTACTCAACGAATGAATGGACAGATGGATGGGTAGACTGAGAGATGGTTCAGCATCTTAGTCCTGCTCCTGTTTCCAACACACACATTGTAGTCCTGGGCTTTAAACACAGGGTCTCATGTATAGCTACACACATTTAAAAGAATGACTTTATTTTCCTTGCAAATTGTCTAAGCATCATTGTAGGCATCACACTTTGAGAAACTGTACTCAAGGATCACTTTTGCCAGCAAAGACCTTAAAAGAGCAGGTACATGTAGAAATGTACTTCAAGGGAAGTGAGGTATTTGAGAATTGGCCTTGCCAGTCAAAACCCTTTACAGAAAAACATTGTGTTGAATAGTAAAACCCCACTCCCCACAATGGGATGGAGAGAAAGGAGCATATAAACCTGAGGAGTTTCCTGCACTTTCTTCATGCCTTTCCTGCTCCATGGAATAGGTTTTTTGCAGGGGCTCTTTTTTCTGCCAAGACCAAAATCATAAGACTCCCTGTGTAACCCCTGCTTATTCCTTTAGTATAGAAGCCTGGACCTCCTGCTTTGTGCTGATGGTTACTGTCTATGATTGAGGTGAGTCCATCTGGCAAAAGGCTTCCTCTAGGCCACTCTGCGCTTGACCCCTCTTCAGCTCACAGAGAGCAGAGAGGTGTTCCTTCTGCAGGAGCAGAAACTTTACAGAGTGCTGAGCGGGAGAACATCAGACCTTCTTCCAGGTTAGCTAAAACTTGCTGTTCAAAGTAGGCTGTCCTTGGAAATACCAGTTTTTAAGAGTCCTTTTGCCACAACCAGTCAGCACGGAAGGGGGGCTCCTGCCTGAGGAAGGCTCGGCAGAATGGCTCAGGTTCTATTTTAGTGGTGGGCAGTGGAGGTCACTGAAGTAAAGGCATTAACTCTCTTCTGACATCTAATGTTTATCCTCTCAACAGAGTGGCTCAGCCAGCAATCTATTTTTACCATTGTTCAACTGGCACATTTTGGGACTAAGCCAATCTACACGTTAAACTCTGCTATAAATGGAGGTCTTTTGAGAGCTTTCTGGAATGCTGGCTTACCAGCTCTGGCGTTTGCTGGGTTCACAGTAGAAGCATCCCCACAGGGCCATCTGAATGCTGGCTTCTCTGCTCTGGCCTTTGCTGGTGTGATGACTGAAGTATCCCCATAGGCTCAGGAGCTGCCAGTCAGGCAGTACATCTCTTCATGGTAACCCACCTGGGTTTGCACATCTTTGGTGGAGGGTGTCTTGGTAAATAGGTGTAGAAGCAGCTCTGATTGGTGGTGCTGCTAGAAAATAAACCAGAGATGATCATTCACTTGTCCTTTAAACATTGGGCTGTTGGGACCTTTCTCATGCACATTCTGGCCCAAAGCCTACTAATCCACTTGGTAGGCCAAACATATAGTTGAACTTAATTTCAATCTATCCGTTAGGAAAGGATGTCCTCTGTGGAACCAGCACCATCAAGAGACCAGATTATGTGTTCATTATTCCCACAGAAAACAGGAGAACCTGACACAATAGGAAATGTGACTCACTCATTTTCTGGGTACCAAGATTTGGACTTTTCATACCAACCCAATTTACTCAGATGCTTTGCTCTTAGATCTGTAGTCTGAACTTTAAGTTTTATGACATCATCCTTTCCTCCATACTCAGAAGTTCAAATAAAAATATGACTGAGAGGGCTCATCTCTGTGTCTCTATGACAGCATAGGAAAGATGCAAGGTGAAGTTCATGAAAGGCCTTCTTCAATAACTTTTAAATTATCACTTAACAACTAAAGCACACTTGGGTTGAGCTTAATTGTCCTTATGGAAGGGTCTAAAGAAGTACCTTTTCTTCTTTTCTTTTCTTTTTTTGAAGTTGGGTCTTTCAGGCTAGCCTTGAACTCCTGGGAATAAAGTGTTCCTTGCACCTTAGCTTCTTTTGTAATAGTAACTATAGACTCGCTCTACTGCACTCTGCTCTGAAGCAAGCATCTTGTATTGCAAAGGAGAAGAGTAAACTGGTAAAGATTAGAGTCTTCCTAAATGTTTGCCCACAAATGACATATAATTTTTGCCCCAGTAATAAGCAGGAACACTCCAGCTCCCTGAGGGAGTACCAGGGTACTGATCCTACTCATGAATGGGGATGTTTGGAGGTGTGTGGCAAGCACAAAAGGAACACTTATGGCCTGTGAGGTTGTGTGTATACTATGGCTTCTTTTTTTCCCCTTTTTTATTGAGTTTATTGGTACAATCTAGGTCTACAGTACAGTTACATTCATTATTGCCCAATGTACAGTACCTTCACATGACAGGTCTTGGTTCTCATTTTTTCCCCTTGTCCCTGCCCTCCCTTCACCCCCCCCATTAACAAACTTTTTATTTCCATTTTTTCATTTTCTCATATTTTTTCTTTTCCCTTATTTCATTGCCTCTACCCTTCCCCCTTTCCCTACACCTTTACCCCTTTTCTTCCCACTTCACACTCTTACCCATCCCATTAGGATCTTGTGTACTATTATAGTTTTTCATACCAGAGAAACTATGGCTTCTTATAGAGATGCCTTGCAAAAGCTTACTTGTCGCACTGCCCTCCCAGCTGACTGACAACTACCCATCTTCATGGTCTTTCCAGGTAGCACCACTGAGGACTACACCCTCATTGTTATTGAGCATGGCGCTCCACTACAGCTGCTGGTCAGCCCTACCTCCTTGTCCCTCTCAAAATTGTATTTACTTCTGTGGATTTAACAAGAAACTTCACCAGTTTAAAAAAAATTACATTAACATTCTACTCCTGTTTTAAAGTAAGCAATCTGGATGGGCAGAGATATAGCTCTGTGATAGAGTGCTTGCCTCACACGTCTGAGGTCCTGGGTTCAATCCTAGTACCCCACTCCCATAGATAACCGTCACAACCTTTCACTCCAAGGAGTGGCTTGGAGTGTGAATCTTCCAAATTTACTGCCCAATGGTAATTATTTCAAATAGTCCATAAAAAATCATTTATTGTTACAAATTATGACATGATCTTAAATCAAAAATCAAAAATCCACTTTTGTTTCCATGTATCAGAGTTGATACTCCAATGCTGGCCAGCGGCTTCTTATTCAAAGCCATCAGCAGTGCACCAGTCCCTGAGGAAGGTGACTAGAGAGCTCAAGGCCTCCTGCTCATCTTTATAGGTCACTGAGAAAGATCACTCGGCTAGCATTATGTTTAAACCAGCCAAAAGCTTTCTGTGGGAAAGGCTTTGTCATTGAGGAAACTAATTCTGGGTGGGTATCTTCCTCAAGAAGATGCCAATTCAATCTTCTGTATTAGGCTCATGTCCCAGGGATAGGTCACAATGCTGTTGATTGCTGCTGACCCAATGCTCTCTATACACCCACCCTTCCCTGCTCTGTTAGTATCATCTCCAAAGTAAGAGGGAAATCATAATTGACAAGCAGCTCCCCTTGTGTGCTGTCTGGCCCCTTACAGCCTATGTCTGTGCAGAGAAACATGTTTTGCAGCCCTTCTGGAACCACTGCAGGATACCTGCCCCCTTAAGCTGCCACTTGCCCCTTCAGCTCTTGGTGTTGGAATTTTGAGGCCCTGCAGAACATTTCCTAGGCACTTTCTGGTGGCTAAATTGCCTAGGTTTCACTCTATCTTTTGATTCTTCTGCCTTTGATTCCAGAGTGAGGAGATTACATGTGTGGGCTACCTTGCTTGGGTTTGCACTGCGTCTTTGAAGCTGAGGGTAGAAGGAAAATTAGAGGGGCTGGGGTACAGGAGCTGTTTCCAGCAAAGTGTTCAAAGATGATTCTGAGACTAAGAATTTCCCAAACTACTGAACTGTGATATTCAGTTATTTGGCAAAGGGGGAGATCATGAAAAACGGTTAACTCCAAACTTTCTCTGGTGACTTACCTTGTCTACAACATAGACTTGGGAAAGCCTCTTCACTCTACTGGATCAGATTTTGCTAGGAACTTTCTTTCCTCTTCCTCCTCAGCCAATCGGTCTCTGGCGGCAAGGCCAGGGCCACTCTGTTCTGGCACCTGGTAACACAATACCAGCACACGGAAAGCACACAGGGAACATTTGCAGAAGACTGAGTACACTTGGCTCACAAGAGCCTCTTCCATTCTGCAACAAAGGCATGTGGCAAGAGTGACTATGACCTCAGCCAAAGGGACTGTGTGCTCAGAGTGGTGCTACCAGCTAAACATGTGCTAGTCCGTTTAATCCTGCTCACAAGGGAGACTTTTTCACCAGCTTCACTTTGTAGGTGAGAAAACTGAGCAGCAGGGCACACAAAGGAATACATGGATGTCCTCCTGACCAAAATGCATGAGGATTTCTCAAATGCCTCCAGTCCTGCTGCTATCCTTCTCGCAGGAAGGGCCTCCACTTCTTACATCCATTCATCTAGATGTCCTTTGCTGGTCACCCAGTTGTTGGTGCTGGCATTTTTTAGGTGATTGCAGTTAAGTGGCATGAGAAATCCACTTGATCACAATTGTGGGCTAAATATGCACAAGAGTGGGCATCAGAGGCACCAGCCAGACTCCCCAACATCTACACAGCGTGTGTGACTTCATGGCCTCACAGTCAGACTTGCTGTGGCTCAACCTGTCCTCCTATTTCAGGCAACAGTACCTGTTCACAGACACCCAGCACCCTGGACCCCTCCCTGTGTTCAGTTTGTGTACAGACAGCTTCCCTCCTGGGCCTGAATTCATGGCTACCACAATTGAGCTTACCCTGTGAAGCAGCTCTCACTGCTGCCAAACTTGGATGAGCATAGGATGTATCTAATTAGCTTTTTCCCCCACGTACTTTTTTTTTTTCAAGACCAGATTGGCTATGGATCGCAGTCTCATACCTAATCAAAATCCTTCTCCCTTGGGATCCTGGGAGCTTGGATAGAGGTTTTAGCCTCTCTGGCTGGTGAGTTTTCCCTGTTGTTGAGTTTGCTGATTGCACCCATGGTGTCATTTTACATGTTCCACTACCTCTTGTTTTTTTATAAGCTGGAAGTTGTAGGAATTTTTTATTCATTGGCTGATTAATTCATTCTTTCATTTAGAGACTAGCTTTGATTTCTGACTCATGGACCCAGGAACTACTCCTGGCTTAGCAGAACCTACAGGCTTATGCCAGTATGGCAACTATTGGAAGATTTTAGAAATACAAGTGTCCAGATCCTCATCCTAGAAATTCCCTTGCACTGGTATGGGTGCTGAGGCCGTCTCATTCCTGATAGCCCCAGGTGAGCCAGTTTTTCATGCTTGCTGGAATGCCAGCCTGACCCCTCTAATAACTACAAATCCGCTTCAGTCACATAAAGTATCAGAGAGGGACACTGGAGAGTTAACTGAGACTTTCAGTGGGAATGCTCTAGGGCCTGTACCTCCTTCTTGTAGACCAGTGTAAGGAAGCTGTTTACCATAGATTCTTTCCTGGCCTTGTAAGTATGCATGTCAGGGCGAAAAAAAGCAGTCTCACTATTGTGGCCTCTCAGGACCAGTGCTCTGTCCCCAAATTGGGAAACCTTCTCTAGTGCTGGGAACTATGAATGGAGGATGATGCTATCATCTCTTCTGGGCTCAGATGGCCCCAACTGTGTGCTATTTCTTCTCTACTGACTATCCCCTCACTTCCATTCGCATGACCAGCTGTCCCCTTAACTGCTGAGAGACACATTCTCCAGGTAGCAGCCAACACCTCATTGCCATTATTCACAGCATCTAGAATGATCTTTATATATCTACATTAGATTTCTTCTCTAAATCCTGTTCATATTCCTGCTGTAACTTCCTCTCATGCCCCAAACAAGATCCATATTCCTCATCACAGTTGAGAAGTGCCACACCTACCGCTCTTCCCACATTTTATTCTTCTCAATCCTTCCTTCCTGACCACACCGGGCCCTTCTGGTGGTACTAAAACAGACTAGCCTCATAGTGTTTTTTGTTTTTGTTGTTATATAGGGATTGAATCCAGGCCCTTCCCACAGAGCCTAATCTTCAGCTAGTTTTATTTTTACCTCTCAGACAGGGTCTTACAGAGTTGCTAAGTTGTCTGAGCTTGTGATTTTCCTGGCACAGCATCCCAGAGTGATTGGACTATAGGCCTATGACAGGACACATGGGGTTTTAATTGTTTATTTCTATTTTTAGTTGTTTGGTTTTTTTAATAGAGGGTCTGGTTATGTAGGGTAGGCTGTCCTAGAATTCCTCACCCTCCTGCATAAGCCTGTTGAGTGCTGGGATTACATGTATGTAGTACTGTTGTGCTATACATCTAAAATGTTCCCATAAAGTCATGTGTTCATTGCTTGACATTTTGGAAGGTGGTTGGGTCATGAGGTTCCTTCACACATCTTTCAGTTTGAGGAAGGCTATGTTCTTCTTGTTTGTGCTGGCAGTTGCTGGTTGTGACTGAAGTCTGGAATCTAGCTGAGGATCAGGCCTAAACTCAGCTTCTCTGAAATTGAGTCCCCTTCGGCATGCACAGTGGACATGGGTGATTCCTCTGTATGAGAAGGAATAATGGAGTGTGGAGGGGAGAAGCATTAGTCCTTCTTCTTGGTAGGTCAAGCCCTGGATGTTCAAAATAGCCTTCTCCTTTCAACCACAGTTTCTGACTCTTTTCCATAGCCAGTTGGTAAAGAAGGGAGATCCTGGATGAATTGGCCTCATGCAGAACTACCAGTTTCTATCTCCAGGGTAAAGCTGTGAGGTCACTGAAGAAGAGGTTCTCTTAAACTTTTCTAGTGTCCATCCTCTCAAAAGAAGGGTGCAGCCATTCTTAAATCTTGTCACCATTGTTCAAGTAGAAAATTTTGTGTCTAGGGCACCCTAGTTGTTGGTTATATTTTTCCCTAACTTGAGGTCTTTTGAGAGCCAGTGTGGATGCTGGCTTTTCTACTTTAGCTTTTGATGGGATAATGGTAAAAGCTTTTGCACGGACCTGTGTGGATGCTATCTTCTCTGCTCTAGATTTGGCTGGTGTAGCAATGGCAGCATCCCCATAGGTCCACTAGCTGCCAGCCAGGCAGTAGGTTTCTCCATGACAGCTCATCTGGGATTCTCCACATCCTCGGTAGAGAACATGGTAGTAAACAGATGTAGGAAGAGCTGTGGGCAGCACTGCTGCTAGAAACAAAACCAGAACTGATCAGTCACTTCTGCTTCATACACTGTGCTTCTAGCACCTACGCTTTTCATGTGGCTTCTAGGCTTAAATCCACTGATCTACTTGGCCTCCCAAACATGGACTTGGTCTGTCACTTCTATAGATTGCCTAGAAAGGGATATTTCCCATAAAGGCACTTGGGTTTTGTGGAACTACAGCAGCAAGACACCAGAACATCTGTCCCCTATTCTGACAGGTAACAAAAGAACTTGACAATAGGACATCTTGAGTTTCTAGGTACCAAATTTAGGCTCAACATGCCTTCTCATGTCAAGCCAATGCTGGGATGCTTTTTCCTCAGATCTCCTGTCTTAATAGTTTAGCTCTCTCTAGGCTTTTCAGAACAAGCGGTATGACACAACCCTTGGCCTAGTCCTCAGCAACGAATGCTATGATTGTTGCTGGGCCCATGTGTGTGTCTTCATGACAGCATAGTAACGGTGCCTGAACCTCAAAGTGAGGTTTATGAGAAGTTTTCAACAGATTTTCAAATAGCTCTTCTTATCTCTTTTTTTACCCTCCAAACAAAATGTTTATGAAAGAATGGACAATACAAACAAACACACACAAACATACAAACAATCCCACCTTCTTACACAAGGTGGGACAAATGTGGCCTTATACGTGAAAAATACCTTTATGCTCTATTTAGTATAATAAAACTTACTGCTTAGAATTTACCCAAAAATTTCCCCTTTCATATAATTTTCCTAGTATTATATAAGGTTATGTCTTATTTCCAGATCCTGAAGTTTCTGCATCTTCATGTTTGTACAATCCATTTAAAATTATGAATGTTGCTCCTGTTTCATGTTCCGATTAAAAAACCCACAAGCAAAACACACACACACACACACACACACACACACACACATACACACACAAAAACAAACCACACATCATGTACTGTAATAATATTCATTTTGGGGATTTAGCTCAGTGGTGCCTCACCTGCCTCACAAGTGCAAGATCCTGGGTTCAATCCCTGGTACCAGGGAAAGATAAATAAATAAATATTTGTTTTGCAACACGAAAAACAGCAGAGACCTTGAATATAATTTGCTTAAATCATAAATTCTGAGATTGAAATATGCATGTATAAGTCACATTTAGGCTCTGTGAACTGAAAGTTCTTCATAAATACATAGAAGTATATATAAAGTGCAAAACAAGCAAGATCAACATAAGAGCTCTGGAATTATAGTACTCCCACTTGTCGGATTTCACATCAGGATAGCTGAGGATGCTCTGGGCGAGCTTCGTGGCCTGTTTCCTGGCAGCCTTACATTTCTCCTCTCCCTGGATGTGGATTAAGGGCAGCTAGGGCCAACACCTGCTTAGTCAGACGCTCCTCCAGATGGATGTAGTTCTTATCCATTCAATTTCCATCAAACAAGAGGACTTTTTCCTGGATCTCTGACAGGTTTCCAAGAACATCCCAGACTGCCTTGGGGGAAGGATGGCTCCTTACAAATAAACTGCTTCTTTTTATCCAGGGCCTCTTTCAGGTTGATGTAGGTGATCGAGATTTGCACTTGAATCACAGCTCTTCTGGCTTCCCAAATGCATGGGTTTCTTTCAAGTCTTACTTCAACTGTCCAGTCAAGGCCTGTGGTTCTGACTTTGAGCTCAGGTACAAGTCGGGAGGGTTTTGAGCTTGAAGAGATTCATTTTTATTTCTCTCACCCTCTTTAGGACCTTTTCTATTTTCAAAATAGAATGATTCTCTCTCAGGTCAAATGCATGAGTAGCATTGGCTTCTAAATGCAAATGCTTCAGTAATTTGTTGATATCTTCAACTACTCCCCTTTGATGGTTCTGATTTCTGTATGCCTGCACACATCTAAAGCTTCCAGATCAGCAGTCAGCCCTGAGAACAGGCATGATAAGTGCCTGCAAGTCTTATTACTGTCCATTCCCATCCAGAAGTGAAATGAGGACGCTGCTGGTCTTGCTCAGTTCACACATCACAGAGTCGACTTTGGCGATGGAAGTATGTGCTTCCTCAGAAGTGC